GCATATAATAAACCTAAAAAAAAGTTATGTTCTTTTACATCCTCCACTTGCAAAATTTGATAAGGCTTAGCAACTTACGACAAGCAGCAAACAAGTACAAAGTTCGTAATGAGAAGAGATAATTGTTTTCTGTCCTTCTTTATTTACTGTTCTATGTTTCAAGAAAGATAACTGAAATTTAAGAACATATTTGTAAATAGTAATAATGTGTATACGTATATAATATAACTGAAATGTGACTATATTTTACAAAATACTGGTCCACTAGAACGCAGCCAAGACAGGCCACTTTGTAAGGCCAGTTTTACATTCTTGAATATGGTAACATGAGTGCATGTGTGCCACACCATTACAACTTCTGTAATGTTAGTCAGGCACGTCTGAAAGGTCAATAAAATAAAAATAATATGAATATATATATATAGATAGATAGATGTGCACTGTTATGGGAATTAAGTTATTTAGACTAAACAGTTGTGGTTTCGTGCTATAATATGAAGTCATTCCAGAATGATAAAAGTATAATTTATATTTGTTTCCTAATTTTCTTATTGTGGTTATGAAGTCGGTCAAATCAACCAAACCCGTACAGAGATACAATAGTAAAAATAACAGATAAAATATAAAGTTGTCTCCAAAAAACAAAGGATTGATAATTATCTGAAAGTTATAAAGATTTTGCATGTGAAATTAGAAAATTTCCTGCTGCATAAAAGTATTTTTAATCTTAAAATCAAAATTACTTTGCATATTGAATAGTCAGTATTTGAAAAGAAAAAATGTATGAGAAAAACATTACTTAAAAAATCTTAAAACATAATTGAAAAATCTGATATGTTGTGTACAAAAGCCTTGTAATGTTTACTGATGATCTGCAAAATTTTGTGAAGATACGATAACCGTATTATTTGAAAATTATAACAAGCACCAATGGTTACGAGTTTGGTCCCTGGGACTGAGCCTGTATTGAAAGAGTTAAGCACTAGCCAAACTTTTCATGAAAGTAACATTATATAATAAGTTGAGTATATATCACTTATGAAACACTAGTTGTTAACTTCAACTACTGTCATAGGTTCAGTTGTATCTCCATAATATATTGTTATAGTGTGTATTCCTTTTACAAGCTAATAGTGTTCCAGTCACTGCTGTGTTTGTTGTATCCCAGCTGTCATGAAGAACTCTGGATTGAGCAAAACTCATTATCAGCTATGGAAATGACAAAGATAGTGTGGTTGGAATACTGTTATTATACACTCTTCTAATTCTTGAAAGTCCCTAAGTGTCTAGATAAAGAATGTAGTGTTTAAAAATGTTATAGGCCTGATACTAATGTCTTATGACAAATATAATTATAATCACTATAATATATTGTTGAACATTTCATTGTTGCTGCACTCTGAAAGATGATGTAATCTGTGGAGATGGCAGGCTGATATGGTTAATGTAAAACATTTTATTCTAGAACACATACGAGTATAATGCTGTTTCATCCCATGTTGATCATTATCAGGTTAGGCAGAAGATTTGAAAAGCTAATTTTAGGAGTAATTACTAAGTTAACACAAGAATGACAGTGACAGGTACAAAGTTCTTGGAGGCTTTGAATTTTAATTAAAATAAATTATAATCTTTATGCTGCAAAGGAATAGAAATTGTAATGCATAGAATGAGATTTTGTGAAAAGTTATTAGTATAGATATAAGTCTCCCTTAGTATAATGTGGGTTTGTGGTCCCACCCTATAGGGATTTCTTTAATATATTCCATGTTTATTATTTTAGTGTTTTCTATAGAGAGGAATATATTGTTAACAGAGAGGATGCCCAACTGATGAAACAGTACATTCTAATCTTTATAAAGAAAGAAGAAAAGTATATCAGCTGTCAAGCTGAAGTTTAATTTCACTCAAAATAGGTGTCTTGTACTGATTGGAAGTTAATATATGTTATAAATAAGTGAATAGTAAAAATGATCTTTAATTTTAACTATCTTTACACTGTTATGAAACAAAGAAGTTATGCTTCACATTCAATTGTCTGATTTAACAGTTCTATCAAAATTCTTTATTACTTATTTGTGAAACTATAAGTCAGCTGACTTAAGTATAATTTTACTAATTGTTATTCACTATCTGGTATTCTGTAGCTCAAGGAGAAGACAGGGAATCTGACGAGTTACAGCCCTCTGATAGCATCTCATCATCTAATTTATTGTCATCATCAGATGATGATGAGGAGGAGGAAGTACCAACAGTCGTGTGGATGTCATCAGAAACAAACAGAACTGGATTGGGACTATGGGAGAAACATAACCAGGGTAAGTATCCAGATGGTGGGAGGAGGGGGGGTAGTGAGGTGATTTGATAGAAGTGGATTAGGACTGTGGGAGAAACATACCAGGGTAAGTATCCAGATGGTGGGAGGAGGGGGGGGTAGTGAGGTGATTTGATAGAAGTGGATTAGGACTATGGGAGAAACATACAAGGGTAAGTATCCAGATGGTGGGAGGAGGGGGGTAGTGAGGTGATTTGATAGAAGTGGATTAGGACTGTGGGAGAAACATACAAGGGTAAGTATCCAGATGGTGGGAGGAGGGGGGTAGTGAGGTGATTTGATAGAAGTGGATTAGGA